TGCGGTGTTGGTGCGGTGTTGGTGCGGCGTTGGTGCGGCGTTGGTGCGGCGTTGGTGCGGTGTGGTGAGCTGTTGGTGAGCTGTTGGTGCGGTGTTGGTGAGGTGTTGGTGCGGTGTTGGTGCGGTGTTGGTGCGGTGTGGTGAGCTGTTGGTGCGGTGTTGGTGAGGTGTTGGTGCGGCGTTGGTGCGGCGTTGGTGCGGTGTTGGTGCGGTGTGGTGAGCTGTTGGTGAGCTGTTGGTGCGGTGTTGGTGATGTGTTGGTGAGGTGTTGGTGCGGTGTTGGTGAGGCGTTGGTGAGGTGTTAGTGAGCTGTTGGTGCGGTGTTGGTGCGGTGTTGGTGAGGTGTTGGTGAGGCGTTGGTGATGCGTTGGTGAGGTGTTGGTGAGGCGTTGGTGAGGCGTTGGTGCGCTGTTGGTGCGCTGTTGGTGCGCTGTTGGTGCGCTGTTGGTGCGGTGTTGGTGATGTGTTGGTGCGGTGTTGGTGCGGTGTTGGTGCGCAGGTGAGGTGGCGGTGAAGTGGTTTGAAGCGGTGCACACTGGGTTGCCCATGTGCATTATGGGAGCTGCATTCGGACCCCTGAAGTTGTCTTCACGGTGAGACGAAGTCAACATCATCACCATCATCATCACCATCGTCACCACCATCGTCATCACCATCATCATCACCACCATCATCATCACCACATCGTCACCACCATCGTCATCATTATCACCATCGTCATCATTATCATCACCACCACCATCACCACCACCATCATCACCACCATCATCATCATCACCACATCACCATCATCACCATCATCATCACCATTATCATCGTCACCACCATCGTCACCACCATCGTCATCATCATCACCATCATCATCACCATCATCATCACCATCATCATCACCATCATCACCACCATCATCACCACCACCATCATCATCATCACCATCATCACCACCATAATCATCATCATCACCATCATCATCATCACCATCATCATCACCATCACCACCATCATCATCATCATCATCACCACCATCATCATCATCACCACCATCACCATCATCCTCGCCACCATCATCATCACCACCATCATCACCACCATCATCACCACCATCATCACCATCATCACCATCATCATCACCATCATCATCACCAACATCATCACCACCATCATCACCAACATCTTCACCAACATCTTCACCACCATCATCACCACCATCATCATCATCAGCACCACCACCATCATCATCATCATCACCATCATCATCACCATCACCACCATCATCATCATCACCACCATCATCATCACCACCATCACCATCATCATCACCACCATCATCATCACCACCATCATCATCGCCACCATCATCGCCACCACCACCATCATCACCAACATCATCACCATCATCACCACCACCACCACCATCACCATCATCACCATCATCATCACCATCATCACCATCATCATCATCAGCATCATCACCACCATCATCACCACCATTACCACCACCATCATCACCATCATTATCGTCACCACCATCATCATCACCATCATCACCACCATCATCATCACCACCATCATCATCATCATCACCACCATCATCACCATCATCATCACCATTATCACCATCACCACCACCACCATCATCATCACCACCATCACCACCACCACCACCATCATCATCACCACCATCACCACCATCATCATCACCACCATCATAATCATCACCACCATCATCATCATCATCACCACCATCATCACCATCACCACCATCATCACCATCATCACCACCATCACCACCATCATCACCACAATCATCACCACCATCATCATAATCATCACCACCATCACCATCACCACCATCATCACCACCATCATCACCATCACCACCATCACATCACCATCATCATCACCATCACATCACCATCACCAACATCATCACCGTCATCACCATCATCACCATCATCATCACCTTCATCACCACCATCACCACCATCATCACCACCATCATCACCATCATCATCATCACCATCATCATCACCACCATCATCACCTTCACCACCACCACCACCATCATAACCATCATAACCATCACCACCACCATCATCACGATCATCACCACCATCATCATAACCATCATCATGATCATCATCATCATCACAATCATCACCATCACCACCATTATCATCACCATCATCATGATCATCACCATCATCACCGCCACCACCATCATCATCAACATGTATGATGCTGTGTGTGGTGTGGTGTACTGTCTGTATGACACTATGTATGATGCTGTGTATGATGTGGTGTACTGTGTGTATGATGCTGTGTGTGGGTGTGGTGTACTGTGTGTATGATGCTGTGTGTGGGTGTGGTGTACTGTTTATGATGCTGTGTGTGGTGTACTGTGTGTATGATGCTGTGTGTGGTGTGGTGTCATGTGTATGATGCTGTGTGTGGTGTGGTGTGCTGTGTGTATGATGCTGTGTGGTGTACTGTGTATGATGCTGTGGTGTACTGTATGACGTGTGTGGTGTGCTGTGTGTATGATGCTGGGTGTGGTGTACTGTGTGTGGTGTGGTGTACTGTTTGTATGATGCTGTGTGGTGTGGTGTACTGTTTGTATGACGCTGTGTGTGGTGTGGTGTACTGTTTGTATGACGCTGTGTGTGGTGTACTGTGTGTATGATGCTGTGTGTGGTGTACTGTGTGTATGATGCTGTGTGTGGTGTGGTGTACTGTGTGTATGATGCTGTGTGTGGTGTGGTGTACTGTGTGTATGATGCTGTGTGTGGTGTGGTGTACTGTGTATGATGCTGTGTGTGGTGTGGTGTACTGTGTATGATGCTGGGTGTGGTGTGGTGTGCTGTGTATGATGCTGTGTATGGTGTGGTGTACTGTGTGTATGATGGTGTACTGTGTGTATGATGCTGTGTGGTGTACTGTGTGTATGATGCTGTGTGGTGTGGTGTACTGTGTATGACGCTGTGTGGTGTACTGTGTGTATGATGCTGTGTGGTGTGCTGTGTGTATGATGCTGTGTGGTGTACTGTGTGTATGATGCTGTGTGGTGTACTGTATGACGTGTGTGGTGTGCTGTGTGTATGATGCTGGGTGTGGTGTACTGTGTGTGGTGTGGTGTACTGTGTGTATGATGCTGTGTGGTGTGCTGTACTGTTTGTATGACGCTGTGTGTGGTGTGGTGTACTGTTTGTATGACGCTGTGTGTGGTGTACTGTGTGTATGATGCTGTGTGTGGTGTACTGTGTATGATGCTGTGTGTGGTGTGGTGTACTGTGTGTATGATGCTGTGTGTGGTGTGGTGTACTGTGTATGATGCTGGGTGTGGTGTGGTGTGCTGTGTATGATGCTGTGTGTGGTGTGGTGTACTGTGTGTATGATGGTGTGTGGTGTGGTGTACTGTGTGTATGATGCTGTGTGGTGTACTGTGTGTATGATGCTGTGTGGTGTGGTGTACTGTGTATGACGCTGTGTGGTGTACTGTGTGTATGATGCTGTGTGGTGTGCTGTGTGTATGATGCTGTGTGTGGTGTACTGTGTGTATGATGCTGTGTGGTGTGGTGTACTGTGTGTATGACGCTGTGTGTAGTGTGGTGTACTATGTGTATGATGCTGTGCGGTGTGGTGTACTGTGTTTATGATGCTGTGTGGTGTGGTGTACTGTGTGTATGATGCTGTGTGTCGTGTGGTGTACTGTGTATGATGCTGTGTGGTGTGGTGTACTATGTGTATGATGCTGTGTGGTGTGGTGTACTGTGTGTATGATGCTGTGTGGTGTACTGTGTATGATGCTGTGTGTGGTGTTCTGTGTATGATGCTGTGTGTGGTGTTGTGTATAGTGTGTATGATGCTGTGTGTGGTGTGGTGTACTGTGTGTGTGACAGTGCATGGTGTGGTGTACTGTGTGTATGATGCTGTGTATGGTGTACTGTGCGTATGATGCTGTGTATGGTGTGGTGTACTGTATGATGCTGTGTATGGTGTGGTGTACTGTGTGTATGATGCTGTGTGTGGGGGTGTGGTGTACTGTGTGTATGATGCTGTGTGTGCTATGGGGTACTGTGTATGACACTGAATGCTGCGGCGTGTGGGTGTGGTGTACTGTGTATGACAGTGTATAGTGTGGTGTACTGTGTATGACGCTGTGTGTGGTGTGGTGTACTGTGTGTATGATGCTGTGTGTGGTGTACTGTGTATATGACAGTGTATGGTGTGGTGTACTGTGTGTATGATGCTGTGTGTGGTGTACTGTACTGTTTATGACAGTGTATGTTGTGGTGTACTGTGTGTATGCTGCTGTGTGTGGTGTGGTGTACTATATATATGACAGTGTATGGTGTGGTGTACTGTGTACGATGCTGTGTATGGTGTACTGTGTGTATGACGCTGTGTGTGGCGTGGTGTACTGTGTATATGACAGTGTATGGTGTGGTGTACTGTGTGTACGATGCTGTGTACGGTGTACTGTGTGTATGACGCTGTGTGTATGACGCTGTGTGTGGCGTGGTGTGCTGTGTATATGACAGTGTATGGTGTGGTGTACTGTGTGTACGATGCTGCGTGGGTGATGCGGTTTAAGGTACGATGCTGTGTTGGCGGTGTACCGTGTGCGTACCACTGCCCGCCTATGACGCCGTGTGTGTGTGTGTGCGTGTGTGTGCGTGTGTGTGCGTGCATGCGTGTGTACGTGTGTGTGCGTGCGTGCGTGTGTGCACGTGTGTGTGTGCGTGTGTGCGTGCGTGCGTGTGTGTACGTGTGCGTGCGTGTGTGTACGTGTGCGTGTGTGTGCGTGTGTGTGTGTGCGTGCGTGCGTGTGCGGTGCAGGCGCCTGTGGGAGCTGCGCTTGGTCCTGCCCTGGGCTGTGAGCGCCGCCCTCTCCTGCCGCTGCCTCCTCTCGCTGCACTTCGAGCGCCGCTGGGACCAGCCGCTCCCGCAGCTGCGCTCCGACATCGGCATGCCGCCCCCCCCGCCGCTCCCGACGACAACGCAGAGGGAGCGGGGAGGGTCCCCTGGCGTAGCGCCCCCGCACCCCAGCAGCAGCAGCAGCAGCCGACCGTCGGGGGAGTCTCCGTTAGCGAGCGGTAGCGCCTATGAATCCGACCCACCTTCGTTGTGACTAACATTGTGAAAGCCCTACGTGTTAACGTGCCTATTAAAGTGCGGCACGGCGGGCGGGTGGCCGGCAACCGCGCCCGGCTGCCTCCGTCTCCCCGCAGCGGCGATGTTCACCGCACGCCGCTACCGCCGGTTACTCGTTTGAGGCCGAGTCGACCTGGGGGGGCGGGGGGGGGGGAGGCCCAGGAGTGGTTGCGGATAATTCATAGCCACTTGTGTTGGTGGCCGTGAGCGGGAATCGAACTCGGGTCAGCCGGGTTCATAGCGAAGCGCGCCGATCGCTGCGATGCAAAACAGCCGCAACAGCAGCCGCACAACAGCCGCAGTCGGGCACAAGAGACGGTCGATAGAACAGCCGAACAAACACCAGGCACACCACAGCCAGACAGAATGGCAAATCGTATATAGTTAAGACAGGCCGCCAAACAATAGCCAGAAAGGCCGCCAAACAATCGCCAGACAGGCCGCCAAACAATAGCCAGAAAGGCCACCAAACAATAGCCAGAAAGACCGCCAAACAATAGCCAGAAAAAACGCAAAATAGCCAGAAAGACTGCCAAACAATAGCCAGAAAGACTGCCAAACAATAGCCAGAAAGACTGCCAAACAATAGCCAGAAAGACTGCCAAACAATAGCCAGAAAGACTGCCAAACAATAGCCAAAAAAACTGCCAAACAAAAGCCAGAAAGACTGCCAAACAATAGCCAGAAAGACTGCCAAATAATAGCCAGAAAGACTGCCAAACAATAGCCAGAAAAACCGCCAAACAATAGCCAGAAAGACCGCCAAACAATAGCCAGAAAGACCGCCAAACAATAGCCAGAAAGACCGCCAAACAATAGCCAGAAAGACCGCCAAACAATAGCCAGAAAGACTGCCAAACAATAGCCAGAAAAACCGCAAAACAATAGCCAGAAAGACCGCCAAACAATAGCCAGAAAAACTGCCAAACAATAGCCAGAAAGAAAGACCGCCAAACAATAACCAGAAAGACCGCCAAACAATAGCCAGAAAGAAAGACCGCCAAACAATAGCCAGAAAGACCGCCAAACAATAGCCAGAAAGACCGCCAAACAATAACCAGAAAGGCCACCAAACAATAGCCAGAAAGAAAGACCGCCAAACAATAGCCAGAAAGACCGCCAAACAATAGCCAGAAAGACTGCCAAACAATAGCCAGAAAGACTGCCAAACAATAGCCAGAAAGACCGCCAAACAATAACCAGAAAGACCGCCAAACAATAACCAGAAAGACCGCCAAACAATAACCAGAAAACCGCCAAACAATAGAAAGACCGCCAAACAAAAGAAAGACCGCCAAACAATAGCCAGAAAGACCGCCAAACAATAACCAGAAAGACTGCCAAACAATAGCCAGAAAGACTGCCAAACAATAGCCAGAAAGACCGCCAAACAATAGCCAGAAAGAAAGACTGCCAAACAATAGCCAGAAAGACCGCCAAACAATAGCCAGAAAGACTGCCAAACAATAGCCAGAAAAACCGCCAAACAATAGCCAGAAAGACCGCCAAACAATAGCCAGAAAGACCGCCAAACAATAGCCAGAAAGACCGCCAAACAATAGCCAGAAAGACCGCCAAACAACAGCCAGAAAGACCGCCAAACAATAGCCAGAAAGACCGCCAAACAATAGCCAGCACACAGCCTGACAATGGGTGGACAATACAAAAGCCAGTTAAACAGGAAGACGACGAACAAGCGGCAGACAATCCGGCATTTCCAGCGGTCGGGGAAAACAGGCGGAGGGGACGGCCGTGCATAGAGACAGGCGGACAACACCCCGACTGGCACAGGGACACCACGAGTCGCACAACGGGGGGGAAGGGGGGGGGGATAGTCACAGCCCATCACCATCAACACCACCGGTAGGAAGCGGTGGTTAGATCCAAGGCTACCGCTGTGTGTGTGGTAAAATAAAGACGGAGCGTGTTGTGTTTGAGAACAGAGGTGGTGGTGCTTTATTGATCCGTCAGCAGAGGGCCCCAACAGGCCCAGGGTACAGCAGGGGTGGTGGTGATGATGATGATGGTGGTGGTGATGGTGGTGGTGATAACGCTGGTGATGGTGGTAACGCTGGTGGTGATAGCGAAAGTAGTGCTGGTGATGGCGGAAGTAGTGTTGGTGGTGGTAATGATGGTGATGACAGTCATAGTGATGGTAGTAATGATGACGGTAGTGGTGGTGGTGATGCTGGTGATGAAGGTAGTGGTGGTGGTGATGGTGATGATAGCGAAAGTAATGGTGCTGGTGATGATGGAAGTAGTGTTGGTGGTGGTAATGATGGTGATGAGAGTCATAGTGATGGTAGTAATGATGACGGTCGTAATGATGCTGGTGATGACGGTAGTGGTGGTGGTGATGCTGGTGATGAAGGTAGTGGTGGTGGTGATGGTGATGATAGCGAAAGTAGTAATGGTGCTGGTGATGATGGAAGTAGTGTTGGTGGTGGTAATGATGGTGATGAGAGTCATAGTGATGGTAGTAATGATGACGGTAGTCATGATGACGGTCGTAGTGATGCTGGCGATGCTGGTGATGACGGTAGTGGTGATGCTGGTGATGACGGCGATGCTGGTGGTGATGATGACAGTGGTGATGACGACGGTCGTACACACCGTAGCAGCGATGGCTGTGGCCACGGCGGCAATGGCGAGGCATGCCGCATTAACGTGGCGGCTGCGTTGACGGATGGTGACGGTGGGCCTAGTGATGCTTCCGTGTCCGTGTTGTGTGTACGTTGAACTTCCTTCGCACCGTACGCAGTGGGCAAACGTTGGTCATCGGAGGTGCGGGGGAAGCACAACAGACTAAACAGCAGCAAGCAGTTCGTTTTAGTATAGTGGTGTAGTAGTGTAGTGTATAGTAGTGTAGTGTGTAGTGTATAGTAGTGTAGTGTATAGTAGTGTAGTGTATAGTGTATAGTAGTGTAGTGTGTAGTAGTGTAGTGTATAGTAGTGTAGTGTATAGTAGTGTAGTGTGTAGCGGTGTAGTAGTGTAGTGTATAGTAGTGTAGTAGTGTAGGTGTGTAGTGTATAGTAGTGTAGTGTGTAGTAGTGTAGTGTGTAGTAGTGTAGTGTGTAGTGTATAGTAGTGTAGTGTGTAGTAGTATAGTGTATAGTAGTGTGTAGTAGTGTAGTGTATAGTAGTGTAGTATGTAGTAGTGTAGTGTATAGTAGTGTAGTGTGTATAGTAGTGTAGTGTATAGTGTAGTGTGTAGTGTATAGTGTAGTGTATAGTGTAGTGTGTAGTGTATAGTGTAGTGTATAGTAGTGTAGTGTGTAGTGTAGTGTATAGTGTAGTGTGTAGTGTATAGTGTATAGTAGTGTAGTGTATAGTAGTGTAGTGTGTAGTGTAGTGTGTAGTGTATAGTGTAGTAGGGTGAGTTCGCCGCATCGCGGAAGCTTCACGCCGGAGAGGCGCGGGAATGGTTCCATGGAAGTGCCCTGGGGCAAGCGCTGTTAGCGAGCGCCTATTAAGGCTGCCGCGGTGCACTTAAAGGGTGACCCGTCTGGGAGGAGGGGGGGGAGTGGCCAGAACCATGCGCCCGGCCACCTTTGTCTCCCCAATGCTGATGTCAAACATCAGATGCTCCAGGCTGAGTCGACCTTGGGTTTGGTCCATGCGCACCATCGCTTGTACACTCATCCGCGCACATTCAGTCACGCGCACACACGCACGCACACACGCACGCACATGCGCACACGCGCGCACGCACACACGCACGCACACACGCACGCACATGCGCACACGCGCGCACGCACACACGCACGCACACACGCACACACGCACACACGCACACGCACACACGCACGCACACGCACACGCGCACACACGCACACGCACACACACGCGTGTGCAGGCCGTCGGGGCAAGTGCTGTTTGCGAGCAGCAGCACCCGATGACCTGGACCAGTAGGATGAGGGGGTGGGTGGCCAGCACCCACTCACCCACCCACACACCCGTCCACTCACTCAGCTACCCACCCACTCACCCACCCACTCACTCACCCGTCCACTCACTCAGCTACCCACCCACTCACCCACCCACTCACTCACCCGTCCACTCACTCAGCTACCCACCCACTCACTCACCCGTCCACTCACTCAGCTACCCACCCACTCACTCACCCGTCCACTCACCTACCCACCCACTCACTTACCCGTCCACTCACTCAGCTACCCACCCACTCACCCACCCACTCACTCACCCGTCCACTCACTCAGCTACCCACCCACTCACTCACCCGTCCACTCACTCAGCTACCCACCCACTCACTCACCCGTCCACTCACCTACCCACCCACTCACTTACCCGTCCACTCACTCAGCTACCCACCCACCCGTTCACTCAGATACCCACCCATTCATCCACCCACCCACCCACCTACTCACCCATCTACCGACCAACTCGCCCACCTGTCCCGCCCACCCGCCCACTCACCCCACTCCCCATCCTCTACGCGTCATCACCAGCCAGGATCTGAAACGCGTTCCGTGAGCACCGCTCCTCCTCCTCTTCCTCATCCTCTTCCTCCTCATCCTCCTCCTCGTCGTCCCTGTCCGTGGTGGCGGCGGTGTCGGCGGCGGTGGAGAGAGTTCGGTACCGTTCCTGCATCTCCTGCATCTCCAGCGTGTCTGGGTGTGTCAGCCACGACTCTGCCGGGCGGAGCGGTGGTGGGGGGAAGAGGTGGGGGGAAGAGGTGGAGCGAGGAGGTGGAGGAGATGGGAAGGGAAGGAAGTAAGAGGACAGGCCGAGGGAGGGAGGGGGAAGTGAAGGGAAGAGATGGGTGAGTGAGTGAGTGAGTTGGTGAGTGGGTGAGTGAGTGTGTGGGTGAGTGTGTGAGTGGGTGAGTTGGTGAGTGGGTGAGTGAGTTGGTGAGTGGGTGAGTGAGTTGGCGAGTTGGTGAGTGGGTGAGTGAGTTGGTGAGTTGGTGAGTGGGTGAGTGAGTGAGTTGGTGAGTGGGTGAGTGAGTGTGTGGGTGAGTGTGTGAGTGGGTGAGTGAGTGAGTTGGTGAGTGGGTGAGTGAGTTGGTGAGTGGGTGAGTGAGTTGGTGAGTTGGTGAGTGGGTGGGTGAGTTGGTTAGTGGGTGGGTGAGTGAGTGTGTGGGTGAGTGAGTGTGTGGGTGGGTGAGTGGGTGGGTGAGTGGGTGGGTGGGTGGGTGAGTGGGTGGGTGGGTGAGTGAGTGGGTGAGTGGGTGAGTGGGTAGGTGAGTGGTTGGGTGAGTGGGTGAGTGTGTGAGTGAGTGGGTGAGTGTGTGAGTGAGTGTGTAGGTGGGTGAGTGGGTGAGTGAGTGGGTGAGTGGGTGGGTGGGTGAGTGGGTGAGTGGGTGAGTGAGTGTGTGGGTGGGTGAGTAGTTGGGTGTGTGGGTGGGTGAGTGGGTGGGTGAGTGGGTGAGTGAGTGAGTGAGTGTGTGAGTGTGTGGGTGGATGAGTGGGTGAGTGAGTGAGTTGGTGAGGGAGTGAGTGTGTGAGTGAGTGGGTGAGTGAGTGAGTGTGTGGGTGAGTGGGTGGGTGAGTGGGTGGGTGAGTGGGTGGGTGAGTGTGTAGGTGGGTGAGTCGGTGAGTGAGTGTGTGAGTGGGTGGGTGGGTGAGTGGGTGGGTGAGTGGTTGGGTAAGTGGGTGAATGTGTGAGTGTGTGGGTGGGTGAGTGGGTGAGTGTGTGAGTGTGTGAGTGTGTGGGTGAGTGAGTGGGTGAGTGGTTGGGTGAGTGAGTGAGTGTGTGAGTGAGTGTGTGGGTGGGTGAGTGTGTGGGTGGGTGAGTGTGTGGGTGGGTGAGTGGGTGAGTGAGTGAGTAAGTGTGTGGGTGGGTGAGTGGGTGAGTGAGTGTGTGGGTGGGTGAGTGGGTGGGTGAGTGGGTGGGTGAGTGATTGTGTAGGTGGGTGAGTCGGTGAGTGAGTGTGTGAGTGGGTGGGTGGGTGAGTGGGTGGGTGAGTGGTTGGGTAAGTGGGTGAGTGTGCGAGTGTGTGGGTGGGTGAGTGAGTGTGTGAGTGTGTGAGTGTGTAGGTGAGTGAGTGAGTGTGTGGGTGAGTGGGTGAGTGAGTGTGTGAGTGTGTGGGTGAGTGAGTGGGTGGGTGAGTGAGTGGTTGTGTGAGTGTGTGGGTGGGTGAGTGAGTGAGTGGGTGAGTGGGTGAGTGGGTGAGTGAGTGAGTGGCGCTCACCGTAGTTGGCGGTGTAGCCGGGTGGGTGCATGGCGAGGGAGAGACGCCCCTCCACGGCGAGACGCAGGATGCTGTTGGCTGCTCGGTAGACATCGGGGCGCGCCGTCCGTGCCGTGTGGAACCCTCGCTGCTCTGCCCACACTACACACACACACATACACCCATTACATACACACACTACACACACATACACATTTACATACACATTTACACACACACTACACACACATTTACAACAACAACAACAACAACCGCCATTCGCCACTAAGTGGCGGTGACGTCACCACGACGCTTGTGCCAGGCTATGTGCACCCTGAGGCCACGTGAAGTGTCGAACGCCCGCTGGCAGGAGGTCACGGGGCAGACCCAGGTGCCACGGGTCGACTGACTGAGATGACTGGCTGATGCACCACCTGTGCCCCCTACTGTGCCAACCTGCTGTGCTTTAGCCACCCGGCGCTCCGCTCGCTGTTGTGAGCGTCGCTCCTCCGCCCTCCGTTGTTGTTGGAGGGCGACTGCCTCCAACTGCCCAGTAGCATCCTTCACGAGCCTCCTCCACAGAGGCCGATCTTGACACCGCTGGTACCAGTCATCGGCAAGTCCACTCAGCTCCACGTCCTCCTGTACCACATCACTCCATCTCTTCTCTAGCCCGTGCCGCGCCCGCTTAGCCCCCTCAATCCGGCCAAACAAAAGCTGTTTCGGCATGCGGTGGCTGGGCATGCGGGCTACATGACCCAGCCATCGCAGCCTTGCCTGCCGGAGGAGCTCACCGATGGGACCCTGCCCAGATCTTTCAAGGATTTGTGAGCTCCTCACACAATCCAGTCTGGTTAAACCCAGGATGGATCGTAGGCAGGTCAGCCTAAATGTTTCTAACCGGCGAAGATGTTCCATTAGGAGGGTCCACGTTTCGCAAGCGTAGAGAAGGGAGGGAATGACCGTGGCCGAGAAGACCTGAAGCTTAGTGCGGAGCGACAGACCAGGTAGCTTCCACACAGCGTTACGCAACCGATGAAAAGATATTGCCGCTCGACTGATTCGGAGTGAGACCTCTGCTGTTAAACTGGAGCCAGTCATAAGCACACTGCCCAGGTATGGGAAACTCTCCACTCTCTCCACAACTGCCCCATCACCGATTGGGAGTTGTGGGGGTGGAGTGTCCGATGGTACAAAATACCCAGGCAGGTGCTTAGTTTTGGTGGGGCTGATGGTAAGGCCCCACCTCTTAGTGGCACGCTCCAGTCTCAGCAGCAGCGTCTCCAACTCCTCCTCTGACTGAGCAGCTATTACCAAGTCATCAGCATACATAACGTGGTTGAGCAATAGGGAGCCATCCCTTGACCGCACCCGGGCATCGATTAGCCTCCCATTATATCTGTACCATATGGAGATTCCCCCGGTACAGCTATTGAAGGCTTCACGAACTACGTGGTCAAAATAGATGTTAAATACACATTTACACACACACACATACAACCACATACACATTTACATACACGCACATACACATTTACATACACACACACATACACATTTACATACACATTTACACACACACTACACACACACCCATTACATACACACACTACACACACACGCACATACACATTTACATACACATTTACACACACACAACCACATACACATTTACATACACATTTACACACACACAACCACATACACATTTACATACACGCACATACACATTTACATACACATTTACACACACATACACACATACACGCACACACACATACACACATACACGCACACACACATTTACATACACGCACACACACATTTACATACACATTTACACACACACATTTACATACACATTAACATACACGCACACACACATTAACATACACGCACACACACATTTACATACACGCACACACACATTTACATACACGCACACACACATTTACATACACGCACACACACATTTACATACACGCACACACACATTTACATACACGCACACACACATTTACATACACGCACACACACATTTACATACACGCACACACACATTTACATACACGCACATACACATTTACATACACGCACATACACATTTACATACACGCACATACACATTTACATACACGCACATACACATTTACATACACGCACATACACATTTACATACACGCACATACACATTTACATACACGCACATACACACATACACGTAGACACACACACAGTTATATCCCGTTTGACTTCCCTCCCCACCCACCCCTCCACCCCCCCTCCACCTCTCTATACACCCCCCCACCCCCCACCCTCCATCCCCCCACCCACCCACCCCTCCACCTCTCCCTCCATCCTCCCACCTCCCTCCCCCCCACCTCCCTCCCCCCCTCACAAACCTTCACAAATCTCCCACGCCGTCCAGGGAGCCTCCTCCCCCTCCCCGCCCCCCTGCTCCTCCTCCCCCGGCCCCACCGCCCCCCTCCCCACTCCGCGTGGGGTCGGTGCCGGGCGGCGGAGGTTCAGGATCCTGGGCAGGGGGATCCTCTGGGCCAGGAAGCCGATGGCCGTGTAGGGCTCCTGGATCTGGGAGATGGGGTAGATCCCGGCCAGGATCTGTGCACGCAAAGACAAAGGGGCCACCCCCCCCCCAACCACCGTGGAGCCTTAACAGAACTGTTGTGGGGGGCAAGCGGCTGTTCGGTATGAGCAGAGACTCACAGAGACACAGAGACCCACAGAGACACACAGAGACACACAGAGGACATACAGACCCACAGAGACACACAGAGACACACAGACCCACAGAGACACATAGAGACCCACAGAGACCCACAGAGAGCCACAGAGAGTCACAGAGACACACAGAGACCCACAGAGAGCCACACAGAGCCACAGAGACACACAGAGACCCACAGAGACACACAGAGACCCACAGAGATCCACAGAGACACAGAGACCCACAGAGAGCCATAGAGATCCGTAGAGACCCACAGAGACACACAGACCCACAGAAATCCACAGAGACGCACAGAGACCCACAGAGATGCACGGGGCCCCAAAGAGAGCCATAGAGACACACAGACCCACAGAGACCCCCAGAGACACACAGAGATCCACAGAGACACTCAGAGACACACAGAGAGCTATAGAGATCCGTAGAGACCCACAGAGACACACAGACCCACAGAGACGCACAGAGACCTAGAGAGGGCCATAGAGATCCGTAGGGACCCACAGAGACACACAGACCCACAGACATCCACAGAGAGCCATAGAGATCCGTAGAGACCCACAGAGACACACAGACCTACAGAAATCCACAGAGACGCACAGAGACCCACAGAGAGCCACAGAGATCTGTAGAGACACACAGAGACCCACAGAGACCCACAGAGACCCACAGAGATCTACAGAGACAGAGACCCACAGAGACACAGAGAGACACACAGAGAGACCCACAGAGACACACAGAGGACATACAGACCCACAGGGACACAGAGAGACCCACAGAGACCCACAGAGACACACAGAGACCCATAGAGACCGACAGAGAGCCACAGACACAGAGAGACCCACAGACATCTACAGAGACACACAGAGACCCACAGAGATCCATAGAGATGCACGGGGCCCCATAGAGATCCACAGAGACACACAGAGACCTAGAGAGGGCCATAGAGATCCGTAGAGACCCACAGAGACACACAGACCCAGAGATCCACAGAGACACACAGAGATCCGTAGAGACCCACAGAGACACACAGCCCCACAGAGATACACAGATACACAAAGAGACCCACAGAGACCCACAGAGAGCCATAGAGGCCCATAGAGACCCACAGAGACACACAGACCCATAGAGATACACAGAGACACACAGAGACCCACAGAGATCCACAGAGACCCACAGAGATGCACAGAGAACCACAGAGACCCATAGAGACACACAGAGAGCCATAGAGACACACAGCTCCACAGAGAGCCATAGAGACCCACAGAGACACACAGACCCACGGAGATACAGAGAACCACAGAGACCCATAGAGACCTACAGAGAGACCCATAGAGACACATGGTGACACACAGAACCGCATAGACCCATAAAGACTCACAAAACAAAGACAAAGATCCCCCGTGTAGCCTTAACAGACTGTTGGGGCAAGTGCTGTTAGCGAGCACCTATGAAGGCCTTCACAGCACACGAGGGGGTGGGTGGCCAGCACCACGCCCGGCCGCGTTTGTCTCCCCTGTGGCGATGTTGACTACACACCATACCAGGTAACACATTTGAGGCCGAATCGACCTAGGGGAGGCCCAGGATCAGTGTTGGTGGCCGTGAGCTGGAATCGAACTCGGGTCACCGGGTTTGTAGTGCAGCGTAGCGCTAACCACTGCACTACCCCTGGTCACCCACCCACCCACCCTGACACTCACCCACCCACCCAGACACTCACCCACCCACCCAAACACTCAACCGTCCACCCACTCACACACATACCCACCCACGACCCACCCACCCAGACACTCACCCACCCACCCAGACACCCACCCACCCACTCAACTCACCCACCCACCCAGACACTTGGTTACCCACCCAGACACTCACCCACCCAGACACTCACCCACCCACCTACCCAGACACTCACCCACCCACCCAGACACTTACCCACCCACCCACCTACCCAGACACTCACCCACTCACCTACCCAGACATTCACCCACGCACCCAGACACTGACCCACCCACCCAGACACTCACCCACTCACCTACCCAGACACTCACCCACTCAACTACCCAGACACTCACTCACCCACCTACCCAGACACTCACCCACCCACCCAGACACTCACTCACCTACCCAGACACTCACCCACCCACTCACCACACCCACCGACCCACCGACCCACCAACCCACCAACCCACCAACCCACCACACCCACCCACCCACCACACCCACCCACCAACCAACCACACCAACCACACCAACCACACCACACCCACCCACCCACCACACCCACCACACCCACCCACCCACCAACCACACCCACCACACCCACCAACCACACCCACCACACCCACCAACCAACCACACCCACCAACCACACCCACCAACCAACCACACCACACCACACCCACCACACCCACCACACCCACCGACCTGCTGCTGCTTGTCGATGAGCGAGGGGAAGATGAGGCCTGGGCAGTCGCAGAGCCTGACGGTGGGAGTGAGGAAGTAGGTCTGGAAGTACTTGGTGTGGCCGGGCGTACGTGACACGCTCACCACCTTGCGGCCCACCAGTCCGTTGATGAGCGACGATTTGCCGACGTTGGGGAAGCCTGCGGGGCGAGACGCATGGAGGGGTACACCCGGTGCCGTGGGGGGGGGGGGGGTGATGACTACGGTGATGGTGATGACGACGGTGATGACGGTGATGACTACAGTGATGGTGGTGGTGACTACGGTGATGGTGGTGACCACGGTGATGGTGGTGACCACGGTGATGGTGATGACTACGGTGATGGTGATGACTACGGTGATGGTGATGACCACGGTGATGGTGGTGATGACCACGGTGATGGTGATGACTACGGTGATGGTGGTGACCACGGTGATGGTGATGACTACGGTGATGGTGATGACCACGGTGATGGTGATGACCACGGTGATGGTGATGACTTTGGTGATGGTGATGACGACGGTGATGGTGGTGACTACGGTGACGACCACGGTGACGGTGATGACTACGGTGATGGTGGTGGTGACCACGGTGATGGTGGTGACTACGGTGATGGTGATGACTACGGTGATGGTGGTGGTGACCACGGTGATGGTGATGACTACGGTGATGACCACGGTGATGGTGATGACCACGGTGACGGTGGTGATGACTACGGTGATGGTGGTGGTGACCACGGTGATGGTGGTGACTACGGTGATGGTGGTGATGACCACGGTGATGGTGATGACCACGGTGATGGTGGTGACCACGGTGATGGTGATGACCACGGTGATGGTGATGATGACTACGGTGATGGTGGTGATGACCACGGTGATGGTGATGACTACAGTGATGGTGGTGGTGACCACGGTGATGGTGATGACCACGGTGATGGTGATGACCACGGTGATGGTGATGACCACGGTGACGGTGGTGATGACTACGGTGATGGTGGTGATGACCACGGTGATGGTGATGATGACCACGATGATAGTGGTGATGACTACGGTGATGGTGATGACTACAGTGATGGTGGTGGTGACCACGGTGATGGTGATGACTACGGTGATGGTGATGACCACGGTGATGGTGATGATGACTACGGTGATGGTGGTGATGACCACGGTGATGGTGGTGATGACCACGGTGACGGTGATGACTACAGTGATGGTGGTGGTGACCACGGTGATGGTGATGACCACGGTGATGGTGATGACCACGGTGATGGTGATGACCACGGTGACGGTGGTGATGACTACGGTGATGGTGGTGATGACCACGGTGATGGTGGTGACTACGGTGATGGTGGTGATGACCACGGTGATGACCACAGTGATGCTGGTGACTACGGTGATGGTGGTGATGACTACGGTGATGGTGGTGACCACGGTGATGTTGATGACCACGGTGATGTTGATGACCACGGTGATGGTGATGACCACGGTGATGCTGGTGACCACGGTGATGGTGGTGACTACGGTGATGGTGATGACTATGGTGATGGTGGTGATGACCACGGTGATGCTGGTGACCACGGTGATGGTGGTGACTACGGTGATGGTGATGACTATGGTGATGGTGGTGATGACCACGGTGATGGTGATGATGACCACGGTGATAGTGGTGATGACTACGGTGATGGTGATGACTACGGTGATGGTGATGACCACGGTGATGGTGGTGATGACGACGGTGATGGTGATGACCACGGTGATGGTGGTGATGACTACGGTGATGGTGATGACCACGGTGATGGTGGCGATGACTACGGTGATGGTGATGACTACGGTGATGGTGGTGATGACTACGGTGATGGTGATGATGACTACGGTGATGGTGGTGATGACCACGGTGATGGTGATGACTACAGTGATGGTGGTGGTGACCACGGTGATGGTGATGACCACGGTGATGGTGATGACCACGGTGATGGTGATGACCACGGTGACGGTGGTGATGACTACGGTGATGGTGGTGATGACCACGGTGATGGTGATGATGACCACGGTGATAGTGGTGATGACTACGGTGATGGTGATGACTACAGTGATGGTGGTGGTGACCACGGTGATGGTGATGACTACGGTGATGGTGATGACCACGGTGATGGTGATGATGACTACGGTGATGGTGGTGATGACCACGGTGATGGTGGTGATGACCACGGTGACGGTGATGACTACAGTGATGGTGGTGGTGACCACGGTGATGGTGATGACCACGGTGATGGTGATGACCACGGTGATGGTGATGACCACGGTGACGGTGGTGATGACTACGGTGATGGTGGTGATGACCACGGTGATGGTGGTGACTACGGTGATGGTGGTGATGACCACGGTGATGACCACAGTGATGCTGGTGACTACGGTGATGGTGGTGATGACTACGGTGATGGTGGTGACCACGGTGATGTTGATGACCACGGTGATGTTGATGACCACGGTGATGCTGGTGACCACGGTGATGGTGGTGACTACGGTGATGGTGATGACTACGGTGATGGTGGTGATGACCACGGTGATGGTGATGATGACCACGGTGATAGTGGTGATGACTACGGTGATGGTGATGACTACGGTGATGGTGATGACCACGGTGATGGTGGTGATGACGACGGTGATGGTGATGACCACGGTGATGGTGATGACCACGGTGATGGTGATGACGACGGTGATGGTGATGACCACGGTGATGGTGATGACCACGGTGATGGTGGTGATGACGACGGTGATGGTGATGACTACGGTGATGGTGATGACCACGGTGATGGTGATGACGACGGTGATGGTGATGACCACGGTGATGGTGATGACCATGGTGATGGTGGTGATGACGACGGTGATGGTGATGACTACGGTGATGGTGATGACCACGGTGATGGTGATGACGACGGTGATGGTGATGACCACGGTGATGACGACGGTGATGGTGATGACCACGGTGATGGTGGTGATGACTACGGTGATGGTGATGACCACGGTGATGGTGGCGATGACTACGGTGATGGTGATGACTACGGTGATGGTGGTGATGACTACGGTGATGGTGGTGATGACTACGGTGATGGTGGTGATGACTACGGTGATGGTGGTGATGACTACGGTGATGGTGGTGATGACCACGGTGATGGTGATGACCACGGTGATGGTGGCGATGACTACGGTGATGGTGATGACCACGGTGATGGTGATGACCACGGTGATGGTGATGACTACGGTGATGGTGATGACTACGGTGATGGTGATGACCACGGTGATGGTGATGACTAAGGTGATGGTGGTGATGACTACGGTGATGGTGGTGATGACTACGGTGATGATGACTACGGTGATGGTGGTGATGACTACGGTGATGGTGATGACCACGGTGATGGTGATGACCACGGTGATGGTGGCGATGACTACGGTGATGGTGATGACTACGGTGATGGTGATGACTACGGTGATGGTGATGACTACGGTGATGGTGATGACCACGGTGATGGTGATGACCACGGTGATGACTACGGTGATGGTGATGACCACGGTGATGGTGGTGACCACGGTGATGGTGGTGATGACTACGGTGATGACTACGGTGATGACCACGGTGATGGTGATGACTACGGTGATGACTATGGTGATGACCACAGTGATGGTGATGACGACTACGGTGATGGTGATGACCACGGTGATGACCACGGTGATGGTAATGACCACGGTGATGGTGATGACCACGGTGATGGTAATGACCACGGTGATGGTAATGACCACGGTGATGACCACGGTGATGGTAATGACCACGGTGATGGTGATGACTACGGTAATGGTGGTGACTACGGTAATGGTGGTGACTACGGTGATGGTGATGACCACGGTGATGGTGATGACTACGGTGATGGTGATGACTACGGTGATGGTGATGACTACGGCGATGGTGATGACCACGGTGATGGTGATGACTACGGTGATGACTACGGTGATGACCACGGTGATGGTGATGACCACGGTGACGGTGACGACCACAGTGATGGTGATGACCACGGTGATGGTGATGACCACGGTGACGGTGATGACCATGGTGATGGTGATGACCACGGTGACGGTGATGACCACAGTGACGGCGATGACGATGGTGATGACCACGGTGATGGTGATGACCATGGTGATGACCACAGTGATGACGACGGGTGATGATGACGACGACGATATGGTGATGATGACGATATGGAGATGACGACGATATGGTGATGATGACGGCGATGACTACGGCGATGACTACGGCGATGACTACGGTGATGACGACGGTGATGACCACGGTGATGGTGATGACCACGGTGACGGTGGTGATGACTACGGTGATGGTGGTGATGACCACGGTGATGGTGGTGACTACGGTGATGGTGGTGATGACCACGGTGATGACCACAGTGATGCTGGTGACTACGGTGATGGTGGTGATGACTACGGTGATGGTGGTGACCACGGTGATGTTGATGACCACGGTGATGTTGATGACCACGGTGATGCTGGTGACCACGGTGATGGTGGTGACTACGGTGATGGTGATGACTACGGTGATGGTGGTGATGACCACGGTGATGGTGATGATGACCACGGTGATAGTGGTGATGACTACGGTGATGGTGATGACTACGGTGATGGTGATGACCACGGTGATGGTGGTGATGACGACGGTGATGGTGATGACCACGGTGATGGTGATGACCACGGTGATGGTGATGACGACGGTGATGGTGATGACCACGGTGATGGTAATGACCACGGTGATGGTGGTGATGACGACGGTGATGGTGATGACTACGGTGATGGTGATGACCACGGTGATGGTGATGACGACGGTGATGGTGATGACCACGGTGATGGTGATGACCATGGTGATGGTGGTGATGACGACGGTGATGGTGATGACTACGGTGATGGTGATGACCACGGTGATGGTGATGACGACGGTGATGGTGATGACCACGGTGATGACGACGGTGATGGTGATGACCACGGTGATGGTGGTGATGACTACGGTGATGGTGATGACCACGGTGATGGTGGCGATGACTACGGTGATGGTGATGACTACGGTGATGGTGGTGATGACTACGGTGATGGTGGTGATGACTACGGTGATGGTGGTGATGACTACGGTGATGGTGGTGATGACTACGGTGATGGTGGTGATGACTACGGTGATGGTGATGACCACGGTGATGGTGGCGATGACTACGGTGATGGTGATGACCACGGTGATGGTGATGACCACGGTGATGGTGATGACTACGGTGATGGTGATGACTACGGTGATGGTGATGACCACGGTGATGGTGATGACTAAGGTGATGGTGGTGATGACTACGGTGATGGTGGTGATGACTACGGTGATGATGACTACGGTGATGGTGGTGATGACTACGGTGATGGTGATGACCACGGTGATGGTGATGACCACGGTGATGGTGGCGATGACTACGGTGATGGTGATGACTACGGTGATGGTGATGACTACGGTGATGGTGATGACTACGGTGATGGTGATGACCACGGTGATGGTGATGACCACGGTGATGACTACGGTGATGGTGATGACCACGGTGATGGTGGTGACCACGGTGATGGTGGTGATGACTACGGTGATGACTACGGTGATGACCACGGTGATGGTGATGACTACGGTGATGACTATGGTGATGACCACAGTGATGGTGATGACGACTACGGTGATGGTGATGACCACGGTGATGACCACGGTGATGGTAATGACCACGGTGATGGTGATGACCACGGTGATGGTAATGACCACGGTGATGGTAATGACCACGGTGATGACCACGGTGATGGTAATGACCACGGTGATGGTGATGACTACGGTAATGGTGGTGACTACGGTAATGGTGGTGACTACGGTGATGGTGATGACCACGGTGATGGTGATGACTACGGTGATGGTGATGACTACGGTGATGGTGATGACTACGGCGATGGTGATGACCACGGTGATGGTGATGACTACGGTGATGACTACGGTGATGACCACGGTGATGGTGATGACCACGGTGACGGTGACGACCACAGTGATGGTGATGACCACGGTGATGGTGATGACCACGGTGACGGTGATGACCATGGTGATGGTGATGACCACGGTGACGGTGATGACCACAGTGACGGCGATGACGATGGTGATGACCACGGTGATGGTGATGACCATGGTGATGACCACAGTGATGACGACGGGTGATGATGACGACGACGATATGGTGATGATGACGATATGGAGATGACGACGATATGGTGATGATGACGGCGATGACTACGGCGATGACTACGGCGATGACTACGGTGATGACGACGGTGATGACGACGGCGATGACGATGGTGATGACTACAGTGATGACGACGACGGTGATTACGACGGTGATGACTACGGTGATGACTACAGTGATGACTAGAGTGATGACTACGGTGATGACTACGGTGATGACTACGGTGATGACTACAGTGATGACTACAGTGATGACTACAGTGATGACGACGACAGTGATGACGACAGTGATGACTACAGTGATGACGACGACAGTGATGACTACAGTGATGACTACGGTGATGACTACAGTGATGACTACGGTGATGACTACGGTGATGACTACGGTGATGACTACGGTGATGACTACGGTGATGACTACGGGGATGACTACGGGGATGACTACGGTGATGACGACGGTGATGACTACGGTGATGACTACGGTGATGACTACGGTGATGACTACGGTGATGACTACGGTGATGACTACGGTGATGACTACGGTGATGACTACGGTGATGACTACAGTGATGACTACGGTGATGACTACGGTGATGACTACGGTGATGACTACAGTGATGACTACGGTGATGACTACGGTGATGACTACGGTGATGACTACGGTGATGACTACAGTGATGACTACAGTGATGACTACGGTGATGACTACGGTGATGACTACGGTGATGACTACGGTGATGACTACAGTGATGACTACAGTGATGACTACGGTGATGACTACGGTGATGACTACAGTGATGACTACGGTGATGACTACGGTGATGACTACAGTGATGACTACGGTGATGACTACGGTGATGACTACGGTGATGACTACGGTGATGACTATGGTGATGACTACGGTGATGACTACAGTGATGACTACAGTGATGACTACAGTGATGACTACGGTGATGACGACGACGGTGATGACTACGGCCGCCCCCGTACCCACACAGCCGACGGTGAGCACCCCGTCCTTGAAGGGCTCCGTGGGGGCCCCGGGCAGCCCCATGGCGGCGTCCGAGAGGTGCTCCACCCTGACCTCTCCTCTCCTCCCGCCACCCCCCTCCTCATCATCATCGTCATCGTCCCTCTCCTCCTCATCCTCATCGTCGTCCTCATCGTCCTCTTTATCCACAGCCGAGATCTTCTCCGCCCAGCTGCTCAGGTCGACTGCGAGAGAGGGGGGAGGCCGCGGAAGAACGTTCACAACGGCCGTGTCGGAGTCACCGCGGAAGGAGAGTTGGGCTGGGTTCGAGACCAGGGTCTGGGTGTCTCTCTCTCTCTCAGTGGGTTCACAACGGCCGTGTCGGAGTCATGGAGAGTGAGGCTGGGTTCGAGACCAGGGTCTGGGTGTCTCTCTCTCTCAGTGAGTTCACAACGGCCGTGTCGGAGTCACCGCGGAAGGAGAGTTGGGCTGGGTTCGAGACCAGGGTCTGGGTGTCTCTCTCTCTCTCAGTGGGTTCACAACGGCCGTGTCGGAGTCATGGAGAGTTGGGCTGGGTTCGAGACCAGGGTCTGGGTGTCTCTTTCTCTCAGTGGGTTCACAACGGCCGTGTCGGAGTCATGGAGATTGGGGCTGGGTTCGAGACCTGGGTCTGGGTGTCTCTCTCTCTCTCTGTGGGTTCACAACGGCCGTGTCGGAGTCACCGCGGAAGGAGAGTTGGGCTGGGTTCGAGACCAGGGTCTGGGTGTCTCTCTCTCTCTGTGGGTTCACAACGGCCGTGTCGGAGTCATGGAGAGTGGGGCTGGGTTCGAGACCAGGGTCTGGGTGTCTCTCTCTCTCAGTGGGTTCACAACGGCCGTGTCGGAGTCATGGAGAGTGGGGCTGGGTTCGAGACCAGGGTCTGGGTGTCTCTCTCTCTCAGTGGGTTCACAATGGCCAAGTCGAGACACCGGGGTGTGGGCTAGCCTGGTACGAGTGCCGTGGTGACATCGCCACCACTTAGCAGTGAACAACAGCTGTTGTCGTTGTTGGGCAGGTGGGTGGGTGAGTGGGTGGTGGGGTGAGTGGGTGGTGGGGGTGAGTGGGTGAGCACGTGGGTGGGTGGGTGAGCCGGTAGGTGGGTGGGTGAGCGAGTGGGTGAGTTGGCGGTGGGGTGAGCGGGTGAGCGGGTGAGCGCGTGGGCGAGTGAGCGGCGGGGAAACTCGGCAGGCGGCGGTCTCAAGGTGAACCTAGCCCGGCACGAGTGCGTGCCCGTGGGTTGTGCGTCTCCGCACCCTTGCCCTGCACGATGGCCTCGCACGCCTTGAGCAGCTGGGCCGGGCCCAGGGCCGAGCGGCGGCCTCCCTTCACCACGCGGCGTCTCCTTGCCAGCACTGAGCCCTCGCGAGCATACGGACACACACACAGACACACACACACACGGACACACACGGACACACACACATGGACACACACACACGGACACACACACACACGGACACACACGGACACACACACATGGACACACACACACGGACACACACACACACACGGACACACGGTGGGTGGGTGGCTGGGTGAGTGGCTGGGTGGGTGGCTGCGTGGGTGGCTGGGTGGGTGGCTGGGTGGGTGGCTGAGTGGCTGAGTGGGTGGCTGGGTAGGTGGCTGGGTAGGTGGCTGGGTGGGTGGGTGGCTGGGTTTGTGAGTGAGTGGCTGGGTGGCTGGGTGGGTGGCTGGGATGGTGGCTGGTAGTGGTTGGCTGGTAGTGGGTGGCTGGTAGTGGTAGTTGTGGGTGGTGGTGGTGGTGGTAGTCACCTTCTCCCGGCGCCTTAACGCCACCACCGCCACCGCCGCCGGCGTCGGGCCGCGAGGTGAAGCAGACGACGCGGGTGCCGGGGAAGCGCGCGGTGAAGTACGCACGCCACGCGCTCACCAGCGCCGCCTCCACCAGGTCCACCTTGTTCAGCACCAGCACCAGCGAGCGCCCGCACCGGCGCACCACGTGATCGTGCAGCGACGGGCAGAAGTGCAGCACCTGCGCTAAGCGTACGGGCGCGCGCGTGTGTGAGCGTGTGTGTGAGCGTGTGTGTGAGCGTGTGAGCGTGTGTGAGAGTGTGTGTGTGTGCGTGTGTAAGCATGTGTGCGAGCATGTGTGCGCGCGCGTGTGAGAGCGTGTGTGTGAGCGTGTGTGAGCGTGTGTGCGAGCATGTGTGTGTGTGTGCGTGTGTGAGCATGTGTGCATGTGTGAGCGTGTGTGTGAGCGTGTGTGCGAGCGTGTGTGAGCATGTGTGTGAGCATGTGTGTGAGCATGTGTGTGAGCGTGTGTGTGTGAGCGTGTGTGTGTGAGCGTGTGTGTGAGCGTGTGTGTGAGCGTGTGTGTGTGTGAGCGTGTGTGTGTGAGCGTGGGTGAGCGTGTGTGTGAGCGTGTGTGTGTGAGCGTGTGTGTGTGAGCGTGTGTGTGTGAGTGTGTAGTCCGGCAAAACAACCCCCTACTACCTGCTCGCGGTGCCGGACGGGAAACTCTGTCGTGGACAGTGCTGTGGGGGGAGGGCCAATTCCGATTGGCCCCTCCTCTCATGGCGTCTGTGACCACCACAGGGGCTAAACGGGGGCTCTGGACGGGTGCGAGGGGCAGGTAACCCCTCCACCTTTTAACATTTTTACCACGAAACCACGAATAAAAAATTTAACTAATAATTTAACTAATATTTAACTAATAAGCTTGTGCCTGAGGCCCCGCGGGGACAGGCGTCTCCTGGCCAAACTCCAATTGGCGGAGCCAGGAGATTAAATCGCTACCCTCGGGGCTCCTCCAGAAACAACGAAAAGCCACTACGGGTGGCCACGTGGAATGTTCGAACGCTCAATGCGGAGGAAAGGCTGCCACTCCTCTGTCGGGAGCTGGACCGGTACCGCCTGGATCTCTGTGGAATTCAGGAGGTCCGGTGGACCGATTCTGGCTCCTGCCACCATGAGGGGTGGACAGTCCTCTACTCGGGGCAGCAGACTGCCAAACAACAGGGTGCGGCTCTTCACTGAACAAAAGAATGAAGGGGGCGTGGGAGCGTGGCGGTGAGGTGTGGGAGGCTGTAAGCCCCAGGCTACTTTGGGGTCGCCTTCCCATCAACTAGAGGCGAGGAGTGGTGGTCGTGGTTACTTATGCCCCCACCGAAGATGAACATCCGTGGAGGGATGCAGGCAAAGCCGATGAGTCAGATGCCTTCTATGACCTCCTGTCACAGGTGCTAGCTAAAGTGGCCCCTCGGGTTAGTCATATTGTTGGGTGACTTCAATGCCTGAGTTGGTCATGATGCTGGCACCTGGTCTGGAGTGATTGGAGGGCATGGGCCAGATCAGCTCAATAACAACAGTAGGAGGCTGCTAGCTTTTTGTGCAGCCCATGGGCTGGTAATTACCAACACGCTGTTCGAGCATCGGCACATCCACACAACATCATGGATGCATGCCGGGTCCAAGCAAGAACATCTGCTGGACTACATAGTGACGGACCAGCGGATGCGAGCCCATGTCCTTGACACCAGGACCTACCGTGGATATGATCTGCCCTCTGACCATCGACTAGTCATCTGTAAGATGCGCCTGCCATTCTTCCACTCCGGTGGTGGGTGTACACCCAGGACCCCATTCCAACCTAAAGTGGCCTGGTCTCAGTTATCTGATGAAAGTTGCAAGCGAGAATTTCATCATCGCTTGCGGCTGGGGTTGGCATCGTCCCCCACTCCTCCTGATGTCGAGGGTAAATGGGCGAGGTTTAGGACTGTGACTCATGCAGCTGCAATGGCTGCTTTGGGTACGCGGCCAGACCTCCCTAGAGACCCTGGCTGACAGAGGAGGTGTTCAGGATAGTTGAGAAAAAGCGACAGGCCCACTTGTCATCGGCTACAGAATCCCACGTCAGAGAATGAGGAGGCTTACCACAGCCTTCGCTCGGAGGTTCGGAGAGCCGTGAGGAGCTGCAAGGATGGGTGGTGGTCGTGGGTTGCTGAGGAGATGGAGTCTGCCTCAGTGGCCCGCGATCACAAATCTCTATTTAACTTCATCAAGAAAGTAACCTGCAGTGCCACACCTATTCCCATCATTAGGGGAAAAAACGGTGCTCCAATCTCCGACCCCCAGGAACAGGTTTACAGATTTACTGAAAATTTCTGAGGTCCTGGGGGAGGGGAAATCCCTCAGCCAGGAAAACATCGTGGCACAAAGTGGGGATGACCCTGCTGAGGCTGCGGTGCCTCAAATATTGGAGGAAGTCACCCCCTGTGAGTGGCTGGCTGAGGTGCCATCTGTTGAGGAAGTACTGAAGGCGATCCGGAGTCTGAGACCAGGAAAGGCACCGGGCAGAGATGATCTCCCAAGCGAAATGCTGAGGGAGGGTGGCATTTGTGCACAGACTGCCCTATATGACATAATAACAACAGTCTGGACCACTGGAAAAGTTCCACAGGATTGGAAGGATGCCCTGGTGGCCCCTCTCTTTAAGAAGGGGGACCGCACAGACTTTAACAACTACAGGGGTATCTCACTCCTCAGTGTGCCGGGAAAGGTCCTGGCAAGGATTATTCAACATCACCTTGCCAGGCACGCTGAGGAGAGGCTTGCGGAGCCCCAATGCGGTTTCAGGAAAGGGCGGTCCTGCACAGATGCCATATTTTCTGTCCATTTGCTACAGCAGAGGTGTAGGGAATTTCAGCAAGACCTACATCTCTGCTTTATTGACCTGGTCAAGGCCTATGATACCATCAGTAGGCCTGGGCTCTGGGTTGTTCTTAATGCTTTTGGAGTCCCTGACCCTCTGCTCACGATCATTAAGGACCTTCATGATGGTGAGCAGGCCCGGGTAAAACTACGTGGCCGGGAGTCAGAACCATTCCCTGTACACCTTGGCGTGCGACAGGGATGTCCTCTGGCTCCCACATTATTTAACATCTATTTTGAGCACGTAGTTCGTGAAGCCTTCAATAGCTCTACCGGGGGAATCTCCATTTCGTAAAGATATAATGGGAGGCTGATCAATGCCCGGGTGCCTTACCATCAACCCCACCAAAACTAAGCACCTGCATGGGTATTTTGCACCATCGGACACTCCACCCCCACAACTCCCAATCGGTGACAGGGCAGTTGTGGAGAGAGTGGAGAGTTTCCCATACCTGGGCAGTGTGGTTATGACCGGCTCCAGTTTAACAGCAGAATCAGTCGAGCGGCAATATCTTTTCATTGGTTGCGTAACGCTCTGTGGAAGCTACCTGGTCTGTCGCTCCGCGCTAAGCTTCAGGTGTTCTCGGCCACGGTCATTCCCTCCCTTCTCTATGCTTGCGAAACGTGGATCCCCCTAATGGAACATCTTCGCCGGTTAGATACATTTAGGCTAGCCTACCTACGATCCATCTTGGGTTTAACCAGGCTGGATTGTGTGAGGAGCTCACAAATCCTTGAAAGATCTGGGCAAGGTCCCATCGGTGAGCTCCTCCGGCAGACAAGGCTGCATTGGCTGGGTCATGTAGCCCGGATGCCCAGCCACCGCGTGCCGAAACAGCTTTTGTTCGGCCGGATCGAGGGGGCTAAACGGGCGCGGCACGGGCTAGAGAAGAGATGGAGTGACGTGGTACAGGAGGACGTGGAGCTGAGTGGACTTGCCGATGACTGGTACCAGCGGTGTCAAGATCGGCCTCTGTGGAGGAGGCTCGTGAAGGACGCTACTGGGCAGTTGGAGGCAGTCGCCCTCCAACAACAACGGAGGGCGGAGGAGCGACGCTCACAACAACGAGCGGAGCGCCGGGTGACTAGGGCACAGCAGGTTGGCACAGTAGGGGGCACAGGTGGTGCATCAGCCAGTCATCTCAGTCAGTCGACCCGTGGCACCTGGGTCTGCCCCGTGACCTCCCGCCAGCGGGCGTTCGACACTTCACGTGGCCTCAAGGTGCACATAGCCTGGCACAAGCGTCGTGGTGACGTCACCGCCACTTAGTGGCGAATGGCGGTTGTTGTGTTGTTGTTGTGTGTGCGTGCGTGCACGCGCGCGTGCGTGTGTGCACGTGTGTGTGTGCGTGCATGTGTGTGTGTGCATGTGTGTGTGCACGTGTGTGTGTGCGTGTGAGCGTGCGTGTGTGTGCGTGTGTGCGTGTGTGTGCGTGTGTGTGTGTGTGAGCGTGTGTGTGCGTGTGTGTGGAGCACTGACCGGGTGCCGGACGTCCGTGATGAGGAGGACGACGTCAGACATCTCCAGGACTCGCCAGAGCTGCCGCCAAGTCTGCTCGCAGGGACGCGGTGACATGACGACAGTGACGCGTGAGGTCGTCGCCACGCGAGGTCATCACGCGAGGTCAGGTGGGGTCACCACGTGAGGTCAGGTGAGGTCGCCACGCGAGGTCAGGTGAGGTCACCACGCGAAGTTAGGTGAGGTCAGGCAAGGTCGTCGCCACGCGAGGTCAGGTGAGGTCACCACGCGAGGTCGTCACGCGAGGTCAGGTGGGGTCACCACGCGAGGTCAGGTGAGGTCACCACGCGAGGTCACCACGCGAGGTCAGGTGAGGTCACCACGCGAGGTCAGGTGAGGTCACTACGCGAGGTCGTCACGCGAGGTCAGGTGGGGTCACCACGCGACGTCAGGTGAGGTCGTCACGCGAGGTCAGGCGAGGTCGCCGCCACGCGAGGTCACCTCCAGGTTGTGCTCGAAGTAGCTGAGGCTGCCGGCGGGGTAGGCGCCGTGGACTCGTGCCAGGTAGGCGCGGAACGCTCGCTCCTCGCTGGCACGCACCTCGTCACGTGTCATTGAGTACGACCAGCGGGGGCGGCACGGGAAGTCCAGCACTGCACGAGGAGGTGGAGGCTACCGTCAGAGATTCGTTCACGAGGCTATCCACGTATACAAGCAACCGAGAAGACGGATTCCGGCTTAGCAATCATTGGAAGGATTTGATAAACCATTTCGGGTCTTAATTGATCGTTCACGCTTACGGTGGCCTTCAGACAGCATACATTAATTTTTCGTCTCCCCCCCTCCTCTTTTCAGAACATAGATGGACTAGTCCTTCTAAATAAATTGCCAAATCGCTGCGCGTGGCGCTGACGGTTTTAAAATAAATAAATGCACCGTTTAAAAAAATAAATAAATTAAAGCAAACCGTCACACCTGATGACGACCGTTTGTGCTATGGTCGAAACGTCGTGAGAATTTTTGTTTATTGTTTTATATATATTTTATTATTTTATTGTTTCCCTTCAACGTGACTTTACCGAAAGAGCTAAGGATATACATACTTCACCAGTTGTGGAGTGCAGATTGAGAGAGTGGAGAATGATTCGGAGACAACTGAGAATGATTCAGAGTAGAGAATGAGTTGGGGAAGGGGGGGGCGGGGGGAGATTGGAGTATTAATCAAAGGGGAGAATGATTCAGAGAGCAGAGAATGGATTGAGGACGACGACGAGAACGGAGAGGGGCGATCGCCGTCGTGGGGGTCGTGGGGGTCGTGGGGTCGTGGGGTCGTGGGTTGGGGTCGTGGGTGTTGCGGGGGTCGTGGGGGAGTGAGTTGGGGTCGTGGGGGTCGTGGGTTGGGGTCGTGGGTGTCGCGGGGGGTCGTGGGGGAGTGGGTTGGGGTCGTGGGGGGTCGGCTGGGGTCGTGGCGGTGTGGGTTGGGGTCGTGGGGGTCGTGGGGTGTGGGTAGGGGTCGTAGGTGTCGTAGGGGTCGTGGGGGGTCGTGGGGTGTGGGTTGGGGTCATGGGTGTCGTGGGGGTCATGGGGGGTCGTGGCGGTGTGGCTTGGGGTCGTGGGGGGGGGTCGTGGGGGGGGGGTCTCGTGTGCCCCACCGGATCCGGGGGGGTAGGCGGTGTCCACCGTGACCTCCAGCGCCGTCGGGTCGTCCGCCAGCAGCGGCAGCAGCGGCTGCTGCTGCGCCAGCCGCTTCCTGCGCTCCACCTCCTCCCGGCCCTCGCGGGCAAAGTGCAGCCGGTACCTGGGGGGGGGGGAGATGTGGGGGGAGACACAGGGAGACGTGTGGGTAGACGTGGGGAGACACAGGGGGACGTGTGGGTAGACGTGGGGAGACACAGGGAGACACAGGGAGACGCGTGGGTAGACGTGGAGAGACACAGGGGGACGTGTGGGTAGACGTGGGGAGACACAGGGAGACACAGGGAGACACAGGGGGACGTGTGGGTAGACGTGGGGAGACACAGGGGGACGTGTGGGTAGACGTGGGGAGACACAGGGAGACACAGGGAGACGTGGGGAGACGTGGGGAGACGTGCGGGTAGACGTGGGGAGACACAGGTAGACGTGGGGAGACACAGGGAGACACAGGGAGACACGTGGGTAGACGTGGGGAGACGTGGGGAGACGTGGGGAGACGTGCGGGTAGACGTGGGGAGACACAGGGAGACGTGTGGGTAGACGTGGGGAGACACAGGGAGACGCGTGGGTAGACGTGGGGAGACACAGGGAGACGCGTGGGTAGACGCGGGGAGACACGGGGAGACACGGGGAGACACAGGGAGACGTGTGGGTAGACGTGGGTAGATGTGGGTAGACGTGGGGAGACACAGGGAGACGTGTGGGTAGACGTGGGGAGACGTGGGGAGACACAGGGAGACACGGGGAGACACGGGTCTACTACTCATAGCCCGTCCACGGCCAGAAATAAAAACCATCAAGACGTCCGTCTCAGAGAGAGAGAAGTTTGTGGTGTCTCTCTCTCTCTCATCATCATCACGGTGGCTATGAGATGTTGACTACCTCGCCTGGTGTACAGTAGGTCGTGGGTTCGATCCCGGCCTTGACTACGCCTGCTGCTGCTGCTGCTGTATATTTGGAGTCTGCGGTGTCTCTGTCTCCCCGTGGTGGTGAGCGTGGATTTTCCTCCGGGTCCTCACGGTTTTTCCCCTCCGCATTTACAATCAACCGCCTGCGTATAAGAGCGCTTGGCTGCCGCTAAACATTTCCACGTGACGATGCAATCAGCCGCTCTGTTGATGCGGCTACCGTTTGTGATGGACCAGGGGTCGCTTATGGAAAAAGAGCTGCATGCCTTAAATCTGGTGACAGAAACAAGTAATGTTTAAGAAAAAACTTTTTTTTTTAAAACACGCTTTAATGAAATGTACCGTGCTGGCAAGTGGCAGAACTCCACGACTCCAAGAAGTGGCCCCGAAGCTTGCCCACTACGTAAGGGGACCGTGGCCGATTCACAGCCAACGTCAGTTGAGTGTGGACAATTAGAGCCAAGCCGAAACTATAAAAACATTGTTTAGTTTTAGTGTGGGTCTCTGCGGGTCTCTATGAGTATCTACGGGTCTCTGTGGGCTTCTGTGGTTCTCTATGGGTTCTCTACGAGTCTCTGGGTCTCTGCTATGTATGGCAAGGCGACGATTGGATCCCTCAGATGGCTCCTTCCTCACGCTTGGGGGGCGATGGTCTTTGCGGACTGTGCAGTCAGAGTATCCATTCTCCTCGCGAGCTCGGTGCACCGTGTTTGAGTTCACTGGTTCGGTGATCACGGTCGGCGATGCACTGAGCTCCATGGTGTAGAGTTTTGATGGGGGAATTCTTCTGGGATGGATGGTGGTGGGAGTCAGTTTTTAGGTTAGGCATCAGTATGGGTTGCTGTCCTGTAGACCAGGGGTGGGGGAACGTCCACCCCTTGTCTGCTGGTCACCCACCCCCTGGTGTGCCACAGTGTCGTAGCTGCTGCTGCTGCTGCCCGCTACCAACAGCACTTGCGCAAGCAACCTGTTAAGGTTTACACACGGGACCTTGGCCATTTTGAATGTGCAGCTGTGTGCACGTGTTACGTTTAGAAGTTAATTAGCACGGCGTGAGACCAATCCCTCGTGCTCCAGAGGCGGTCTAATCCCACGCACACCTGCAAACACTTTTCGCACAAAGCCACCCCCTCGCCGCTCCTCAATCAAGAGACACCATGCCCCCAAAAACTATCACTCTGACTGGCACAAACCCCACACCACACCGGGCCGGCTCCACTCCATTCCTTTAGGGGGCCGTCCATAAATGACGTCAGCGATTTTGCACGATTTTTGACTCCCCCCCCCCCCCTTCGTCACACGACGTCACAAAAAGTCAGACCCCCCCCTCAAATATGACGTCACAAAGCTCTGCCCCCCCCCCCAAAGAAAATAAAACATGCTTCGAATCGCTTTAAACTATTGTCATTGTAGTAGTGCGTATTTAATGTGGCGCTGCACTCTGATGTTGTAGGAAGAAAACATTTATTAACAAGTCTATTTAATTAAGTAGAACGTGTTGTGTCTATATTTATTAATAAAGTTGCGCAATTTTGATGTGACGTCACATTTCTCAAACCTCTCCCCCCCACCTCGTCACACATCGTCACAAATGTCTGACCCCCCCACCCCCAGGTGCGTGACGTCATTTATGGACGGCCCCTTAGGGCAGGGGTGGGGAACGTCCGACCCGCGGGCCGTATAGGGCCCGCAAAATCGTTTGGACTCTGGCCCTGCCAAGGCAACCGCAGGCGGGACTCGAAATTCAATAAATCTAGGAGAGCAAAACCTGGAAAAGCAGTTGCGAGTAGCGACAACAACATTGTCATTATGAGACCTCCTTTGCCAGTAACAAGATATAGAAATAGGTTTTACTCTTTTAACTGGCACAAAAACTGACACCTTTATTCAAGGCATCATGTTTGCAATAACCACAACACAAGCAGTCAAAATGCATTTTGACTGCTTGTGTTTTTGTGCCAGTTAAAAGGTAAAACCTATTTTTATAACAACATCGTCATCAATAGCGAGCTAACATCATCACCAAGCCTCGCCAAAGAGAAGCGGTTCCAGCCCATCGCATTAGGGGGTGAGTCAATTAAAATGTTTGACCGAATATAAACGGGCAAATTTTTAAGTTGATAATTTTGTATGGCCCGCGAATGATGTTACATAAATATCCAAATGGCCCTTGGCAGAAAAAAGGTTCCACACCCCTGCCGTAGACAGAGTGGATCATTCAGCCATCTGCTCTCTTTTTGATTATGACATCCACGAAAGGCAGCTTGCCACCCTTTTATACCTCTGCAGAGGAGTGGTCGCAGACATGACGTCACGCTCGCCTCCGGGGGGCGATGGCGTCACAGGAAGTGACGTCATACGCGCCCCGGGGGGGGATGACGTCACATCCCGCAGGGAAGAGCACAGCGCCAGGGCTGGAAGTGACCGCGCTCCTCGGTCGGCCGTGTTGGATGAACCCACGGCCGGCACAGAGGAGGCAGCACGGGGCAGCCGGCTGTGTTAGGAACTAGTGGGACCTAGCCCGGGACCCCTAACCCCTGGGAAGCTGTTCACCCTTGTGCTATTGTCGTAGCTCTGAATAAACTTACGGCGAAAGCCGTTAACTACAGAGCCGTCTCCGAGTCGTCGTCGGGAACTCTTCTACACCTCCATGGTGAATTTGATGGCTGGGTGTATGGAGTTGATGTGCTTGAGGAATTGGTTCAGAGCCGGTCGGCCACGTGGCCAGATGACGAACGTGTCATCCACGTACCTCTCCCACAAGGACGGAACGGAGAGTGGATGCCTGGATGGCGTCCGTCTCAAAATTGTCCATGAAAACATTGGGGTGCCTTCAGTTTGTTTGTAGAATGTCCCGTTCCAGGTGAAGTATGTGTTGGCGAGGCCGTGTCTCTCGCCAGTGCCGGTACATCAGCATTCAATCCTTGTTGGACCAAATCTTCAAGCGATTGCAATGGTGTCGGACACAGGAACTTTGGTGAACAGAGAAACTACGTCGAAACTAATGAGCAAATCACCTGGGGACAGTGAGATGTCCTTAATAAATGATACCAAGTGAGCTGAGTTAAGTACAAACGAGGTGGTCTTACCAGTGAATGGCTGGGCCAGTTTGTAGGTGGGTGAGCCAATGGTGGAGACGATGGGACGAAGGTGTGTCCCTTCTTTATGGATTTTTAGCTAAGCCATACAATCTGGGTGGTCTAGCAGCAGAGGGCTTTTAAGGAAAACCGCTTGGTTTGTTCAATTAATGAAGCCGAATCAGTGCTGATACTGTCGGTTTTTGTAACGAGGTTGTTGGTGGGATCTCTTTTGAATTTTTGTGCAGCTACCATCATTAAGTAGGTCCTGAATTTTGTTGTTGTATGCGGTGTCGTCCATGATGACCGTGGCATTGCCCTTGTCGGCCGAGAGGATGACGATATCATCCCTCTTATTCAATGTATTTCTTTGCACTGCTATCGTGTTTGTGCGACTGCGTTTGTCGTTGTAACGGTCTTACCTAGTGGGACATCTGCGAGTTAAAAGAGCTTTATAGCTCATCGGATTCCTCCCGCAGTAATAAACACAGCGGAGTAGTTAGATTGCTTTGCCGCTCAAAGATCTCCACACACCGACGACGACGGTGATTAAGCCACTTTGTGTTGAGCTGCCATCATTTGTGATGGCCCAGGGGGGGGGGGTTGCTTCCGAAAAAGATGAGAGAGAGAAGAGAGAAGAGAGAGGAGAGAGAGAGAGGAGAGAGAGGCACCAATGCCTCCCTGGCGCGCTTCACCGACACGTCCCCGAGTGCCGGTTCCGCGGTAATGTGGAGACGGTGGCGCACCAATACATGGAGTGCAAGAGCCTGGACTCGCTGTTCAAGGTCCTGAGAAACATCCTCCTAAGGTTCAGCCTCCATTTCTCCCCGACGGTCCTCATCTTTGGATACCCAAAGGGCGACGGACCCCAACATCTTCAGGGGCCGGTTAACGTGCTCATCGGCTACGCCAAGCTCGCCGTGTACAGGGCGAGGAAGGTGGCCCTGGAGAGGCAACGTCCGGCCAGCGGCCTGGGCATCTTCCGCGCTCTAAACGGAGCCAGGGTGTGTGGGCCGGAGTTCCGCCGTGCGCGGCTGACCCACACCGTGCCGGCCTTCAAGGAGCGGTGAGCGCTGGCCATGTGCTTGGTGGCAGATGACGGAGAGCTCTGCATGCAGATCTAAGCTACCCGTCGGAGGCCGTTTGACTGCGAGAAGGGCTGCGTGCAGGTGCAGCACTTGTCGTAGTTTTTTTCTAAAAAGAGAGAGTGAGAGAAGGAGAGCGAGAGAGCGAGCGAGTGAGCGAGAGAGAGAGCGACATGGAGTAGGAAGAGAGGGGGTACAGAGAGAGGGGGGGCAGAGAGGGAGGTAGAGAGAGAGAGAAGGAAGGGGAGTAAGGAGAGCAGAGCGAGAAATAAACCTTTCATTTAAAAAGAGGGGGGGGGGGGGGTTACGTAAAGCAAAGCATAACAACAACAAAAAGAGAGAGAGGATCCGTCGGGCACCTGTTGGGGTCGTGCCGTCCACCGCGTCGCTCCTCGACCGGCTGCTCGTTGATCCGTCTCACGCCGTGCCGCGCGGGGCCACGCGGGGGGAGCTCACCGCCATCGCCGCCGTCACCGCCATCGCCGCCATCGCCGCCATCACCGCCATCACCGCCATCACCGCCGCCGCCGTCGTCGTCCGAGCCTCCGCGCCGGCGTCCGCCCCGCGTCCCCGCCTCCGCCGCCTCCGCCGCCTCCGCCTCGTCGTGGCGGAGGAGGCGGCGCTGCCCCGGGACTGCGCCGGTGCCGTCGCGGTGCTCGCCGGCGGCGCGGTCGCGGCTGGCGCTGCGGCTGTGCGACGGCGAGAGGCCGTCGCCTTCGCCTGCGCGAACGTCGCAGGCGGAGTCGCGGAGAGGGGGGGGGGGGTGGGGGAGGGGGTGGAGGATGATGAGGAGGATCCGGCCAATCACAAACGAAAGCTCAACGAAGCGGCTCATCAGAGCGGAAAGGCCATAGCGGAGGTTCTTGGAGGTCGCGGCGCGTGAACGTGAACTTGTCGTTAATCCCCGCCTCCGACCAAACCAGGTGGGCGACTACAAATTGTTCAGCAGCAGGCGTCGTCAGGGTCGGGGTCGAACCCACGACCTCGCGCGCACCAGGCGAGGTGGTCAACACCTCCCAGCCACCGTTGGCGCCCAATAGCACAAAGACAAAGACCCGCCGTATAGCCTCAACAGACTGTTGGGGCAAGTGCCGTTTGGTGCTCGACCAGAGGACGCCAAAAGGCTCAGAAGAAAGCCGCCCCTTGGTGTGGACCAATCAGTTTCAAGGACAATGCATATATCATCACAGTATGTCTTTTGCTTGCATTTTGACTGCAGGTATTGCGGTTAATGCAGTAAACATGAATCCTTGTAAAAAGGTTTCAGTTTTGTTGCCAGAAAAAAGGGGAAAACCCCTATTATTATATTTTGGTACTGGCAAAGGAGTTCTAATGATGAGAAAACACACCGTTTGCATTTTTGACTGCAGGTATTGTGGTTAACGCAGACATGAATCCTCGTGAGAAGGTTTCAGTTTTGTTGCCATAAAAAAGGGGACAAACCCCCCCTGTTATTACATCCCCCCCTCATCCTACCAGGGCAATGCCCCACTGAGGCCGCTGTGTAGCGCTTTGTCAGAAGCGGCCCCCTGGGCCATCGCAAACGATGGCGGCTCAACACAAAGTGGCTTAATCGTCATCGGTGTGTGGAAATCTGTAGCGGCAAAACAATCTGAAATACTCCGCTGTGTTTATTGCTGCGGGAGGAATCCGATGAGCTATGAAGCTCTTTTTCACTCGCAGTTGTCCCACCAGGCAAGAACGTGACAATGACAAACGCAGTCACACAAACACAGCGATAGCAGTGCAGCGTACAAGACGGGTAAACGCATCACCCGGACACTTTACAAATACGACACTACACCATCCCCCCCCCCCCCCATCCTGCCAGGGCAATGCCCCACTGGGTTATTAACTAACGAGGGGGTGGGTGACCGCAGCACGCCCGGCCGCCTTTGTCTCCCCGGTGGCGATGTTCACACACACACACACCACAGCAGTTACTCGTCTGAGGCTGAGTCGACACTAGGGGAGGCCCAGAAGCGGTTAAAAATAATCGTCACCGGTGGTGGCCGTGAGCGGGAATCGAACTCGGGTCGCCGGGTTCGTAGCGCGGCGTAGCGCTAACCGCTACGCTACCGCTCCCCCCACACACACAGTGACACACAGTGACACACAGATACACACACAGATACACAGACACACACCCACGTATACACACACACAGACACACACACCCACACACACAGACAGATACATACACAGACAGCGCGCTAACCACTACGCTACAATGCGTTAGGCTTCCACGTGTGCGGGTCACGTGACAGATTTGACATCACAGCTCACTTGCCGTGCAAAAAATAAATGCATTATTGACCTCCACCCCCCACCCCCCCCCAAAAAAGTGTATTTTTATAATTTTTGCATGGTGTAAAAGTCTAGAAAGTACCCACATGGCAAATTCCAAGCTAAACATTTTGAACAGACACACACATTCACGTCTCTGCCTTTTAGAAATATGTGGAGATTTTTCAGAAGCCACCTGGCCCAAAAAAAGAGTATCCCATGGTATAGCTGCTGCTCGTCCCGAGCTAGAGATGCTCTGATACGCGTGGCCTGACTGCTGGTGTTGAGACTCGGGCTTAGAGAAGGCTGCCGCTGCCTCTAGTCTAGGCCAATCGGTGTCAAAGACAATGTCGCGTGATTGTTACGTTACTGTTATCAAAGACAATGCCATCTAATATTATTATTATCAGAGCCATGTTTTAATTGCCGGCGAAACGTCGTACTCGGATTGTAAATGCTGTGGCTTGGCTCTCCAACACGTAACAGGTGTTGCTGTACAGTATACTACACTATACACTACACTATACAGTAGTGCTGTACTAGTATACTACACTATACACTAAACTATACAGTAGTGCTGTACTAGTATACTACACTATACACTACACTATACACTACACTATACACTAGTGCTGTACTAGTATACTACACTATACACTAAACTATACAGTAGTGATGTACTAGTATACTACACTATACACTACACTCTAATGCTGTACTTTAGTATAATACACTACACTATACACTAGTGCTGTACTAGTATACTACACTATACACTAGTGCTGTACTAGTATACTACACTATACAATAGTGCTGTACTAGTATACTACACTATACACTACACACTAGTGCTGTACTAGTATACTACACTATACAATAGTGCTGTACTAGTATACTACACTATACACTAGTGCTGTACTAGTATACTACAATATACAATAGTGCTGTACTACTATACTACACTATACACTACACACTAGTGCTGTACAAGTATACTACACTATACACTACACATTAGTGCTGTACTAGTATACTACACTATACACTACACTACACGCTAGTGCTGTAATATAGTATACTACACTATACACTACACTATACACTAGTACTGTACTAGTAAACTACACTATACACTACACTATACACTAGTGCTGTACTAGTATACTACACTATACACTACACTATACAATAGTGCTGTACTAGTACACTACACTATACACTACACACTAGTGCTGTACAAGTATACTACACTATACACTACACACTAGTGCTGTACTAGTATACTACACTATACACTACACACTAGTGCTGTACTAGTATACTACACTATACACTACACTACACGCTAGTGCTGTAATATAGTATACTACACTATACACTACACTATAGACGAGTGCTGTACTAGTATACTACACTATACAATACACTTTACACTAGTACTGTACTAGTATACTACACTATACACTACACTATACACTAGTGCTGTACTAGTATACAACACTATACACTACACACTAGTGCTGTACTAGTATACTACACTATACACCACACTATACACTACACACTAGTGCTGTACTAGTATACTACACTATACACTACACTACACACTAGTGCTGTACTAGTATACTACACTAAACACTACACACTAGTGCTGTACTAGTATACTACACTATACACTACACACTAGTGCTGTACTAGTATACTACACTATACACTACACACTAGTGCTGTACTAGTGTACTACACTATACACTAGTGCTGTACTAGTATACTACACTATACACTACACACTAGTGCTGTACTAGTAACGAATTGGCCACGTTCCGTCTACGAGACACACAAACCCTTACTAGTTGGCTGTGTCGGGGTTTTATCGACACAGTTATTGTATTGACGCGACCTAATCCAAAAACAACCTTTATGTACATTGGTCGTGAACGCCTGCAGCGTGTTAAACAGAGCCTTGTTTGTTGCGTGCACGTTAACCACAAGTATTGTGTGTGTGGGTAACGCAGTTACTTGATTCATTGCAAAAAGGGATCATCCATTTTGGTGTTTGAACATCGTAACGCCACAACTCCTCTTGAGGTAGCCAACATCTCCTAGCCACCGTGATGATGATGAGAGAGAGACGCAGACTCCAAATCTACAGCAGCAGCAGGCGTCGTCAGGGTCGGGATCGAACCCACGACCTCCTGTACACCAGGCGAGGTAGTCAACATCTCATAGCCACCGTGATGATGATGAGAGAGACGCAGACTCAAAATATACAGCAGCAGGCGTCGTCAGGGTCGGGATCAAACCCACCCGCGACCTCCTGCGTACCAGGCGAGGTAGTTAACATCTCCTAGCCACTGTGATGATGATGATGAGAGAGACGCAGACTCCAAATCTACAGCAGCAGGCGTTGTCAGGGTCGGGATCAAACCCACCCACGACCTCCTGCGTACCAAGCGAGGTAGTTAACATCTCCTAGCCACCGTGATGATGATGATGATGAGAGAGACGCAGACTCAAAATATACAGCAGCAGGCGTCGTCAGGGTCGGGATCGAACCCACGACCTCCTGCGTACCAGGCGAGGTAGTTAACATCTCATAGCCACCGTGATGATGATGAGAGAGACACCGCAAACTCCAAATATACAGCAGCAGCCATCAATCAGGGTGAGGATCGAACCCACGACCTCCTGCGTACCAGGCGAGGTAGTCAACATCTCCTAGCCACTGTGATGATGATGAGAGAGACGCAGACTCAAAATATACAGCAGCAGGCATCGTCAGGGTCGGGATCGAACCCACGACCTCCTGCGTACCAGGCGAGGTAGTTAACATCCCCTAGCCACTGTGATGATGATGAGAGAGAGACACACAAACTCCACATACACAGCAGCAGGCGCCGTCAGGGTCTGGCTCGAACCCACGACTTCCTGTAGACCAGGCGATTGCAATTAAAGATGCCATTACTGTACGTGCATTAACATTTCCAGTATATATACATCTCGTAACGTTGGCGTTCTGTCGGGATGTTAAGACGCACCTCTCTCCCTCCCTTGTTTTAAAACACGGGGGGAGGGGAGGTAAGTGCGTCTTATATTCCAGAACACGCCGCATTATTAAACATGACATTGACACGCAAATATATATGACACAATATTTTTTTTAATCAACCTCGTTTCTTCTCGCGTTTCTCCTTAAGCTGCCTTTTCTTCTGTTTCATGCTGAACGGTTTCTTCCTGGGCATGGCTAAAAATAAAAGCGTCCGAATTCAAAAGAGTTTGTTGAAATGGTAACTTATTAAATTCCAATGTGCTGCTCACCCTCAAAGCTCCACTGTACAAACACACGTGCGGTCTGGAGCACGTGGTGTGTGTCGTCACCTGAACTTATAAACATCGGACGAGTCCAACTCGGCGGATAGTCGGGGGGGGGGAAGCTATCGTCTCAACTTATAAACGATGGACGAGTCCAACTCGGGGGGTTAATTGTGGGAGTGGTGGCGTCGTCAACTCAGCTTATAAACGATGGACGAGTCCAACTCCGGGGATAGTGGGGGGGGAAGCTATAATCTTAACTTATAAACGATGGACGAGTCTAACGCGGGGGTTAGTGAGGGGGTGATGGTGCTGTCGCCTCAACTTATAAACATCGGACGAGTCCAACTCCGGAGTCAGTGGGGTAAACCTGTCACCTCATCTTATAAACAATGGATTAGTCCAAATCCGGGGTACGTGGGGGTAGCTATCATCTCAACTTATAAACAATGGGCGAGTTCAACTCGGGGGTTAGTGGGGGGGGGGTGCCGTTACCTCAACTTATAAACATCAGATGAGTCCAACTTGGGAGTTAGTGGGGGGGTGGGTCGTGGAGCTGTCAAAACTTATAAACGATGGACGAGCCCAACTCCGGCGTTAGTAGGGAGGGGGGGTGCCGTCACCTCGACTTATAAACGATGGACGAGTCCAACTCCGGCGTTAGTGGGGGGGGGGATCATGCACATCTCGGGGAATCGTATGTAATGCTGAAGTTGAAATTCAGAATCACCAATGTTTATTTATCCTGCAGGAATCCGACAGTCTGTTGAAAACTCTTTTTTTCGCACGTGTCTGAACGCTACAGCAAACAGACGATAGGAGTGCAAAACATAGGAACGGTGAAGCAAATCACAACAAAAGTAGAATTTAAAACTGAACTATATTTTATCGTAACAGCTCAGGGGCCCAGCGCACTCAACGACTACTGTGACATCGTGCACAAATCAGCCCCAAGTTCCATTTAGTTCCATTTATTTTGGTATAGCCCTGTGAGCCATTCGGCTCTTGAATCGGGTGCAACCGCAACAAACAAAAATATGAACAAGAAAAACATCTTAAAGTGGACTATGTGTGACCGTGCAAATAGAAAATCCAGAAAAAAAAGACATCAAAATATTCCTGAAATAGCACCGTACACCACCAACGCTGTGTGTAAAAGTACTGTACTGAAGAAGCTTGATTCCACCATTGGAAACCTCATTTGCCAGTAACAAAATATGATAATTGTTTTTTTTTACCCTTTTATCTGGCAACAAAACTGACACCTTTTTTTACAAGGGGTCATGTTTACATTGACCACAATACCTGCGGTCGGAACGCAAACAAAAACCAACAACTCTGATAATGTATGTGGCACTGTCCTTGAAATTGATTGGTCCACACCCGAGACAGCTTTCCTTAGAGCCCAGTCTCACGTTGGTGTTGGACCAGAAGACGCCAAAAGGCGCACAACTCAAAGACAATGCACCATCAGAGTATGAGGTTTCGGGGTGAGCATTTACACCATTGGAAACGTTTGCGTTCCGACCGCAGGTATTGTGGTCAATGTAAACATGACCCCTTGTAAAAAAAAGGTGTCAGTTTTGTTGCCAGATTAAAGGGTAAAAAAACAATTATCAAGCTTGATTCCATCTATCACTCGGCCTTAAGATTTACATTGGACTGCCCATATAGGACTCACCACTGTGATCTCTACATCGGGTCAAACTTAACGTCTCTTAATGTTCGACGGCTTGTGCACCAGATCTTATTTATTCACGATGTACTTGCAAAAAAATCCGCAGACTACCTGCTGCTGGATCTCCTCTCTGTTTCAAAGAACAAATTTGACCTCAGGTCTTCGCTCATTTACCAGCTTCACATTCCCCTATTGCCGTACAAAAACCGGAGGAAGGGCCTTTGCTATTGATGCCCCCAGGGTCTGGAATGCTATTGCCAATACACTGCAACTTGAATCGCTACCAATGAGATCTTCTCTCAAAACTGCTCTAGAGGCGTTTGTACACCCCTAGCTGCCACTGCGAAACATTGGCGTAAAACAAAATAAAATGTTTCGCTCCGGATGACGCTGCAAAGTATTATCTGTATTTTGATTTAGCGTGCTGATCTTAAAGGTGCATTGAAAAATGTTGATACTCCGACCGATGCCTCTGTTGTTGTGGAGTAAATCATGCAGCCAGCTATAGCTCTAGGATTTGGTGTTACATGTTATTTATGTAGTTTATTGAAAAAATTCGGTCACAGTTCCTGTGATCACTGTTACGTTGCAATTACGGCTTTATTTTTTTGGTGATTTCGAAAAGTTTTTTTTGGTTTGGACATGTTTGTTTTGTTGTAGTACGGAGTTAGACTGACGGCCTTAATCTAAGTTTTCTTGTGGTTGTTGTGGTTGTTGTTGCTTGACTTGGTGTACGGTGCTTTTTTCAGGAATATTTTTGCTGTGTTTTTTTCATGGATTTTCTGTTTGCACAGTCACACAAAGTAGTCACTTTAAGATCTTCTTGGTTATATTCTTGGTTCTTTCGGTAAAGTCACGCGGAAGGGAAACAATAAAAATATTATAAAACATAATAAAATTTTACTGTTTCATTTTTACTATTTTATTATTTCCCTTCTACGTGGTAGTGACTTTACCGAAATACCCAAGAAGGTGAATCCCTGCAGTCACGAAAGCTTTAAATCGAAATTAACTTTAAGATGTTTTTCTTGTTCGTGTTTGTTTCTTTGTTGTGGTTGCACCCGATTCAAGAGCCCAATGGCTCACAGGGCTATACCAAAAATAAATCAACTGAAAAACGATAGCTCAACAAAGTGGCTCGTTTCGACTTAAAACTTTCGTGACTGCAGGAATTCATATTGTTGGTTCTTTCGGTAAAGTCACGTACGTAGAAGAAAAAAAAACAGAAATAAGTAATTCATTTTTAATTTAATTACATTTTTATTTCCTTTCGACGTGACTTTACCGAAAGAACCAAGAATACGCATCTGGAACACGACTTCCGAACTTACACCACCACCACCAACCCCCCCTACAACTCACTCAGCAATGGTACAACCCACAGTTTGTGGGCGGGGCGTGCGAGTGGTGGTGGGGGGGGCATCAATTTTGCCGGCTTCGATAAACTCGTGTTGCAAAACGCCCTGGGGGCATTTGTCATTTATACTGTTAACGCACCCCCCCCACCACCACCACGTCCAATCGAAACCTCGGGAGCCGAATTGCCAACTTAACAATAAAGATTCTGCCCTGAGGGCGGCAGTGAGCGCGTTAAACCGTGGCGGTTGCTATAGGCGACGGGAGGAGGAAGTGGGATTACGTCATAGCCCCGCCCCCTCCCACACACATACACACAAGAGTCCCCAGTTACCGTAGGATGTTGTTGATTTGCGTTTATTAAATTGCGTCCTGATTTATGTTGGTATTCTATTGTAAAAATGTTAATCGGTGTGCATTGTAGATGGTCCTTTTGTTGCCTACGGTTTAATTAGCCCCATCCCACCACCACCCTCCATTTAATGTATTGATGTATCTGGTCGGTGGTTTATATGTTTTTATTTTATATAAAACAAAAATTGTTATTTAAGGTATTCAACCATCATGGAGTTTCCCTTCAACGTGAAACAAGCGGTGGGAGAGGGGATTGCGCTGATTGACGGGTGAGTGGAGCGGGTTCCAGTGGCCGTGTCGGATTTCTAGAGGTTCATATCTTTTTGCAGTTTTATTTTTTCCCCCCCGGATTTTTCCGTAGTCACTTTTAAAGATGATTTTTCTTGTTCACGTTTTTATTGCGTTGCGATTGCAACTCGATTCAAGAGCCGAATGGCTCACAGTTGCCACACCAAATGAATGAAACTGAAATGAAATGAAGCTGAAACAATGGCCCATGTCAAGTTCTGGAGGTTCATAGTGGTCATGTCAGGTTCATAGTGGTCATGTCAGATTCATAGTGGTCATGTCAGATTCATAGTGGTCATGTCAGATTCATAGTGGTCATGTCAGGTTCATAGTGGTCATGTCAGATTCATAATGGTCATGTCAGGTTCATAGTGGCCATGTCAGGTTCATAGTGATCATGTCAGGTTCATAATGGCCATGTCAGATTCATAGTGGTCATGTAAGATTCATAGTGGTCATGTCAGGTTCATAGTGGTCATGTCAGGTTCATAATGGTCATATCAGATTCATAGTGGTCATGTCAGGTTCATAATGGCCATGTCAAGTTCATAATGGTCATGTCAGATTCATAGTGGTCATGTCAGGTTCATAATGGTCATGTCAGGTTCATAATGGCCATGTCAGGTTCATAGTGGTCATGTCAGATTCATAATGGTCATGTCAGATTCATAGTGGCCATGTCAGATTCATAGTGGTCATGTCAGGTTCATAATGGTCATGTCAGGTTCATAGTGGCCATGTCAGGTTCATAGTGGTCATGTCAGATTCATAGTGGTCATGTCAGGTTCATAGTGGTCATGTCAGGTTCATAATGGCCATGTCAGATTCATAGTGGTCATGTCAGGTTCATAGTGGTCATGTCAGGTTCATAATGGTTATGTCAGGTTCATAGTGGTCATGCCAGGTTCATAGTGGTCATGTCAGATTCATAGTGGTCATGTCAGGTTCATAGTGGTCATGTCAGGTTCATAGTGGCCATGTCAGGTTCATAGTGGTCATGTCAGGTTCATAGTGGTCATGTCAGGTTCATAATGGCCATGTCAGATTCATAGTGGTCATGTAAGATTCATAGTGGTCATGTCAGGTTCATAGTGGCCATGTCAGATTCATAGTGGTCATGTCAGGTTCATAATGGTCATGTCAGGTTCATAATGGTCATGTCAGATTCATAGTGGCCATGTCAGATTCATAGTGGCCATGTCAGGTTCATAATGGTCATGTCAGGTTCATAATGGTCATGTCAGGTTCATAGTGGTCATGTCAGGTTCATAATGGTCATGTCAGGTTCATAGTGGCCATGTCAGGTTCATAGTGGTCATGTCAGGTTCATAGTGGTCATGTAAGAGTCATAGTGGTCATGTCAGGTTCATAGTGGCCATGCCAGTTTCATAGTGGCCATGTCAGATTCATAGTGGTCATGTCAGATTCATAGTGGTCATGTCAGATTCATAGTGGTCATGTCAGGTTCATAGTGGTCATGTCAGGTTCATAGTGGTCATGTCAGATTCATAGTGGTCATGTCAGATTCATAGTGGTCATGTCAGATTCATA